GGGGTATCTAAGAATTCTGGGGCAGTTTCGCAGTTTTCACTTTTTAGAGGGGCCATTATGCAATTAATGAAAGTTATTGCTCAATGTCTTGTTTTGAGCCTGGATCCTCGTACGGGATTCATTTTCACATTTCGTCGAGTCACGGACTCTTAGAATTTCCTCCTGGACGATGTTTTCCAGTTTCAGGGTTTCTGGCCCAAGTTTGTGCCAAACTTGTTTGGGGCATAACTCTCTGCTCAGGACTCGGTTTTTGATGCCATTTCTTCTGTTGTTCATATTTTCTCATTTTAAATCTTTTTTGTTCATGGAGTTTGGCCGTTTGAGCGCATCTGCTCAAATTTCACTTTTTCAGACCCGGCATGGCACATTTGGGGCACTTTTTGAGTTTTTCTATAAATAGGGGGTTAGTAGATGAAAAATCAGATTTTTCTCTCTCTCTTTCCTCTCTCATGGCCGGTCCAAGCTCCTCCCATGGCTGCCACCTTCTCTCTCCTCTTTTGAGCTTCTTCCCTTCAATGAAAAGTTATCATGCCTTAGTGTTTTATGTTCGTGTTGGCGAGGCCTTCTATTCCAATCGATTGGAATCTCATTTTGGTCATTTCTTGAGTTCGGGTTTGAAGTCAAGTTGTGTTTTTAATGGAGCTTCCTTGGGATTCATGTTCGTGGTGTTGTCCCTGACAAAACGTAGGAGTTTCATCGGATTCAGAGCCAATTTTTTTTTTTTTTTGGGGAGGGGGGGGGGGGGGGATTTGAGATTTCATTTCAAATAGAGGTAGGGAATGTTTTAGGATTTTATATGTATTGTATTGTATGTTTTCCATGTTTGTACAACCTATATGCATGCCTTGTATTAAATTTAGGAAATTTGAAATATTTAATTTTTTGTATAAGATTTAATTTTCATGATGATGAAAATTTTGGATTTGAATTGTGACATGGTAGAAATTCTTGTTTTAATATGGTGGTTAACATATATTAAATTGGGATTAATTAAATAAGAATTGCTATTTTTAATTAATATTTATCTTTAGTGAAAGATTAAAGTTCATGGCCGTACCTTGCATGAAATTGAGTTGTAATATGCTTTTAAATTAAGTCATGGCATATTCTTTAACATACTTTAATTTGAGAGCATTTGGTTGAGTTTGGAAATCTAGAGACTTTAATTAAGAGAATTAATTAAAATCTATTTTGTGGTTTTATGGGCCTAATTAAGCTTTTGTGTGAATATATGTAATGACCACGATATGTCTTTTATCATATATTAAATTGAGGCCATTTGGAAATGATTTGAAATCTAGAGAGTTGAATTATTTTGATGTAATTAAATTCTATCTTGTTTATCTATGGATCTAATCATATTTTAGAAGTTGTTTTTATTTTAAGAGCATGGATTTAGACTTGTGATGTATTCATTTGATTGTGTTATATGCATTAAAGAGCATTATTGTTAAATTTATATTCATGAGAGTGTGTTTCTAATATGAATATATTGTTGGCTTGTGATGTCATAGCATTATGGATATGAAATGCTTATTATGCACTATTGGGAGTTAAATTGCTAACTTATTACTATGTAGTAGTAATATGTATGAGTTGTGAACTTATTTGGCTTATTTTAGAATCTTGGGACATTGTTGAGTTGAGATGGCTAGGGTTTGGCTCTTGTACGGGGACGTGAGTCCTATAAGTCATTGAGATAGTGCGCACTTAGGGTGGTTTTCCCTGCGGGTTAGTGCCCGGAATAACCTTTGAGGTCTCGACAGAATTCCGAGTGTGATGCCCAAGTCTTCCACTATTTGTTTTCGCATTCAATTCCAAGTTGACAATCATGTTTACCTTGTTGACTTATGGTTTTGGCTATTGGCCATTTTGATGTTGTTAAGTATATTCATACTAAATTGCTATATTTAGTTGATTTGACACTTTTAGATTTCTAGTTGATAACCTAGAGAATCTATTTCTTGATGTGTGGCATTAGATATTCTAATTATGCTAAATTGTTATATTTAGTTGATGTTGCATTTTAGACTTCAAGTTGATAACCTTGAAAATCTATATGTTGTTGCTTTGTGTAAGCATGCTCCTATGTTATTGTTTTGTGTAAGCATGCTCCTATGTTGTTACTTTGTATAAGCATGCTCCTATGTTGTTGTTTTGTGTAAGCATGACCCTATATTGTTAAAATCGCATGAATGGGGTGATTGATGCTTGAATGATCTTAGGTAGCTAAGATGCTCCCTGAGTTTCACCTTTGACATAGACGTTAGGTGGAATGAACCACAATAAATAAATCATGCAAAATTGTAAAACGTAGGTCGATGCATGCTCATTTCCTACGAGTAGCTTGAAGTTGCTCACCCCAAAGTTATTGGGGCATATTTTTCGGTACAGGAATCAAGTTGAGATTTCCATTATGCTTGGATGGTTTGTGGACTTGAAGATTTCCATTTTAGTGAAGGTTGGCTTGAAATGCCATATGTAACCTTATTTGTCAAATGTGCATATTTGATTTTAAACTTGTAATGTGTGCCTAAGCACACTTTTTGATTCTCATTTTGTGTATTTGACATGAGGCCAAGGGCCAAACTTCTGTTGGAATCACATTTATATCATGGATGTTAATTTTTGTCTTAATGAGAATATTTGGAAACTTATGCGTTTTAGTATGCTATTTTGCACCGGAGCGTGCATTGTGTATGAAATTCATTATCTAGAATTCATTTAGCATGTTTGAAGTGTGGCCACCAAACAGCATTTTGAAACCATTTCAAGATTTTAAATTCCAAGTTTTCGTTCCAAACTTTGTTTTTGGCATTTTGCATTAGGGTGGTCATATTTTGTATCGGCCATATTTTGAACTGTGGACCATTGTAGCACCTCTTATTTGGTAAGTTATGTTTGCGTGCATGGTCGTTTCCGGGCAAAGCTTCTTCTTTGCTGAAATGATCTTCCTACAGACTCATTTTACACTTTTATTGCATAATCTGACCTAAGGGTATTTTGGAAATTTTCTTTAGGAAATAAATTCTGTTCTTCATATGGTCACTTAGAAAATGTGATTTTAGGGGAGGGTTTCTTCTTCGTGTTTTTTCTGAAAATGTCGTCTTGGCTTCGGAAATCATTCTCGAAGTTCAGCTTTCAGTTTTGCATTTAGCAGCTTTTTCGACCATCTGGACCAGATTTCTTGGGAGGGCATTTTGGGCATTTCACATTGAGTTTTTTTCAATTTTTTACATGAGTCAAGTAGAAAACTCGATTTTGAGGGGGGTTTCTTCTTTGTGTTTTTCCAGAAAATGTCATCTAGACCCTCAAAAATTCACTTTTTCCCGAAAAACCCCTGCTGCCAGGTTTTTGGGTGGCACCTTACTGCCCTATTCACATCTAACTGGTTAGAAGGGGTTATCTAAACGGTTAAATGACTTTGGGCAGTGTCTTGGTTGTGTTTCTTGGTCTCCTAACCGGTTAAGAAGGTCTCCTAACCGGTTAGATGTTCTTGGGTTGGTACTTTTTGACCGTTTTGCTCCTGTTTCTTCCGTTAGCCATATCTTCTTCATCCGGACTCCGAATCAAGTGATTCTCGAGTCTAAATTCATTAATTTTTCGTTGTCTTTCTAATGGTGTGCTCGGTGGCACCTACTTTTAAGCTGAAAATGACGTTTTTGCCCCTATGTTCATTCTTGTTCGTTTTTGAAACGTTGCTTCCGTATTTGTTTCCTTTGGGTTTCGTGACCTCATTGAGTGTCACATTGGTGTCTTAGAGTCATGTTGTATCTCTAGAGACCGTTGTTTTATCTTTTACTTCCGCATTTTAGATCCATTATCGGGTCATCTTTCGGTTCATCACTGACGCACCGGGTTGAAAAACTTGGGCCGTCACATTCCTATTGTCATATTCCTTGTTTGGATTCATAGGGACATAAGAGGTGTGTCTTAGGCACTACCTACTGAGAAATTTTGCTCACCCCTTTTATTTAACATTTTTTTTCAGGAAACGAGAAAGAAGTGGCGGATGACATTCTAACACAGACTTAGTATAGATAAGGAGCTTATTTTGTTGTTTTGTACTTGGGTCTCACTATTTTTGTAAGACTAAGCATAATGTATTTTGTACGACGACTTATGGACTTTTAATATTATAATTATACCTATGGACTGTAACTTTTATACAAGCTGTCTAAATGTTGTAAAACATTGACATTTGATATTAATCTTGTATTTTGGGACTGTAATTATGATACCTGGATGATATAGTATGTGGTTGTACCACCATGAAATGTATTAGATGTTTATTGTGTTGGGACAGGTTAAAAATGTATTTAAACAGGTTGTTGTAGGATGATTTTTTGCGGAGGTCATGCCGAATTTTTTTTATAAATGGTATTAGTTTAGGGTCATTACATAAATAGTAAATTTTAATAATAAGTTAATCATTTTAGAAAATGGTACTTACAAATCTATTTTATTTTTTTTATTTTTATGATAAATTGAAACTAATAATAAAATTAAGAGAAATGGTATAATTAATATTTAAATAAGATAATATATAATAAAAATAATTTAATAAAAAATGACAAATTTAATGAGAAGGGGAGTCTTTTGAGATGGGTTTGTCCTTAATTGCAACAAATCTATAGTTTAGGGGGTAATTTATAATTTAGGGAGATTAGTTGCAAAAGGACAATAGTTCAATGATTTTTTTCACACTTTACCCTATAAATTATAAGAATTTTACATTAAAATAAAATAAAATAAATCTATTTTATAATACTAGGGGTGATTAGGAACAGGATTAAGCATAAATGGATTAGAAAATTTTGAAATCATCACTCATCAGTGACAAGGTTCAATCTTATCTAGTAATTCGTAACAATAATTAAATTGTAATTCTTAAAACTCCAAGGACAGTTGCCATGTTTTGAATCCATCACCAATCCATGAGTTTAAAAATCCAATTCAATCTGCCGATTTTGATCAGATCAAGCATACGAATTACTGGATAAATAAACACCCCTTTGTAACCATGAGGACCGAAATATGATTGCTTAATTTAGCATATAAAGTTGCAGTACATAATACTTATACAACCAAATTAAGCTGGCCTCTAAATCTCCTACGCCTACTTGCACAACTTGAAATGCGACAATGCAGGGGTTCCATCAAGCCCTTTCTTGTAGTAGTGGGTGAAGTACTCTTTTATGGTAGTCTCCCTATAGACTGGGGGGTTTTCTTGTGATACCAACTCCTTGATTGGCCCATAAAGTTTTGGTGTAATCTCTTCTGTAAAATGTGTTCTCAAAGAACTTGCCACTGAAATTCTTGGGCCTATCTTGTTGGAAAGCACTCTGTGATTGACACTCTTGAACTTGTCATTGGTAATGAGCTGCACAAACACCGACATGAAAACAAATGAAACAACCTGATGAGTTACATTAGTAACATATATAACTCCTCGAAATATAATCTATCATATACTTGCCTGTAAAAGATCTGCAATATTTATTACAAGAGCTCCAGGCAAGGGAGGAACATCAACCCATTGATTTTCTTGAAGGACTTGAAGCCCACCCTGTTGGTCCTGTAGAAGTATAGTAATGAAGCCAGTATCAGCATGGCTGCTGGTGCCGAAAGTCAATTCAGGTTCAGGGCATGCCGGGTAGTAATGGCTGGTGACGAATAGCCCCTCAGCACAATTCATATCTTTCAGGTGGTCGAGGTCAAGTCCGAGTGCCTTGGAAAGCAATTCTAATAGAGTAAGTCCCAATTTCAATACATACTTGGAGTACTCCATCATTATATCTCTGCAAGTTGAACAAATACATGTATTGCCATATGAATCAACGAAAATGAATAAATTTGGCAGTAGAAGTACAGAAAAACAGGGGATAATTCCACAAAATTGCCTTTGAATCTTTTCCTTTTGGCAAAGAAAGAGCACATGAGAATTCAAAGTAGGGAGATGATGAATTCTATCAGTGAAGTTGAAAATAGTCTAATCAAATGTGGTTAGGATTTGATAAATTGTTGTCATACATGTACAAATATTGGTCTAATTGATCACATACCTGCACACTGCAGGTAGTTCTGCAAGGTCAGGTGGTTGAGGAGCCATGACACAATAAGTGGTGTCCTTCCAATTTGCTGCTGGTGTCTGAAACAGATCAAAATTGCTATTGTATACAAACCTTCCCGTGAAATTACGCGTATAGAATTGCTTCTTTACCTCAGTATCTTGCTCGTGAAACCTGCGTACCCCATCAAACATTTCATCCATGACACTGATCGGAATTCCATGATTGACCACCTGAAAGAAACCCCACTTCTCCGAAGCATCTCTAACTTTTTCTACAATTTCACCAAGGAGAGCTGCATCTTTTTTTATGCCTTCCAGGTCAATGGTTGGAATACTGAACTGGGAATTGCCGCAGACAGACTTCTCTGGAAGCTTTACTTTGTGAGCATGGACAAATATATGAGGGAGCTTGGTCACCCCAACATCTACAAGTCCCTTTACACCCGTTTTTGAATCATAAAAAGCTTTTAACTCACTTTTACGATCAAATTCAGGCATGGTTATGGCCTCAACCTCACATGTGCTTGTTGCGGTCGCCATTTTCTCTCTTGGAAGACAACAAGACCATACAGTTAAAATGCTAGGTTTATGATTGGGGACTCCAATCATTGGAGCATTGGGCCTGTTGAAACTTCATTACAACTTAAAACATGGCATTAACTTGAAAAGAAAATAAAGATACCCTCAGGAAAATAGATATATTCTTCAATGATCTCAAGAGGACACTATGGGATTTCAGTATTTAACTTCATTTGACAAATAGTAGTAGAACAAAAAGAAAATATGACAATAAACATGATGATAAAAGATTCTGATATAAAAAATTGGATTTACATTTCATACTGCACATTGTTGGCTGGAAACACAGACAATTATTTTAACATCCTCGAAAAATGTTGTGTTTTTGTTTTTTTATCTTGTATTTATTTTTGGTCAGGTAATATTGAGCCAATTGGTGGGTGGTGTTTTTGTTTTCTTCTACAGAGGAAAGAGAGATGTTTTAAAAGAAGACAAATTAAGTTGTCTGATGAGCTCTTCAATGACAAAATAAAGACAGTAACGTAGACCCACCCAGAACCTAATCCTAATCCTTTGTCTGCCATGTGAAGGTTTTCTGATCATTTCCAATTTGTCAAGCTCAATATTATAGAACCGGACAAAACATATATCTCAACTATACATATCTAAGACCTCCTACTCCTAACTTTCGATTTATGGGACCACAATAAAATATTTAACATTTAAAAAAAATAAAATAAAAATGAATCATCCATTATGAGAGCATCGATAACATTCAACTATATGATTTGATCATGAAAGAAAGTTTATTGAATGGACACAATCAAATATTTGTCTGTTTACAACTGTAACGACTCGATTAATTACCAAAATAATAATAAAAATTTTGACATGACTTTCACAGAAAATATCCATCAACAACCTGTAAAAATACAAAAATAAATACAATGGCCTCACTGAGCCTTAAATCTAACTTATCCTATCCCAACGCACAATTCAAATATTATATTACATTCCCAAAATGGTTATATACATACAAAAGTCTCGTTCCTCTATCTCATCCAAACATGGAACCCACTTAAGTTACATCAAATTACAATCCATAAAATGTAGCTAGAATTAAAAGTCCATAACTTACAACATTATACTAATTAAACTAAAGTGTCACAAGGTAGTTAATATCACATTTACAAAATATTAGAGTCTAATACAAAAGATAACAAAATAGAATGGGTCTTCAAGCTCATCTAAACCTGTGGTGGACCGTTGTCCGCCACCTCTTTTCCATATCCTGAAAAAATGTTAAAAATAAGGGGGTGAGCATAAGCTTAGTAGGAAGTGTCTAAAACACACTTCTTATGTCCCCGTGAATCCATACAATGAATAGATAAAAAGTGAACGGGATCATGCCATCGGAAAACACCCATTCTTAACCGCAATAACAAGTATATAACAAATATCAACCAATCACAAATTTACCACGATGTCATGAAGTGCAATGTTATGCAAATGTCACTCCCCATTTCCGAAACAATTCCGTTTCAACAACCAAACCGTTAGTGTAGTCCGACCCAAGGCACCTCCATGGCGTCACGAAAGGAAGGTTGGTTAACTATCCACGACCACAAGGCACCTCCAAGGTGTCGCATCCGGCCTAGTTAACTAAACTATTTTCCCCTCTAGACTACATCAACATCACGGACCACTAGGCGCCTCCTAGGCGTCCGGTTTTCGCAACACTTTTAGAAAATATTTTTCCCAAAACAATTTTATTTGTTCTAACAATTATTTTTCCCCCTTTCTCTTTCCCAATGGATACATGAATACTTCATGCTTCAAATCATTAATTTAACTATATGTTTTCACACATTTCCATTTACATTATCATCACAATTTAATGAAAATTTCTAAACATTCATTTCCTTTATTTATTTATAACCATAGCATCCATTTTTCTTCAAGATAATAATTAAATAAATAATCATGGAAACATACAACACATCAAACACTAAGCATGCTCATTTACCGTAATAAAAATAGACATGTATATGAACTCAAATAACACAATGAGCACAATTATCATTGTAATTACAAAGAACTACAACAATAACAAGCTAAGTAATTAAAATTTAGCATGCTTAGAATCAAATTTAAGGGGAAAAATTCACCAAAGGCCAAAAAATTGTAGATTAGAACACTCCTACCTCAAATTGCTGAAAACCCCCAATTTGATCCCAAGAACCCTAAAATTTCGAACTCCCTAGAGAGCACTAAAGTTGAAATTGCTGGTACCCACGCGTAGATCTCGCCGTGCTCTCCGACTTTGCTTCACAAGGTTCTATCAAATTCCAATTGAGTGAAGCTAGATCAAGTCTTGAACTTGCAAAAAGAAAAAAGAAAAAGAAACTGCCGAGGTGAGAATGATGCAGCAAAGAGAGATAGAGAAGCTAATGATCTGCGAAATGGCCATATGGCCTTTTTGATGTTTTAATATAGTGGTGGGACCCACTTATTTTATTTCTTTTTCTTTTAACATTAATTATATATATATACATATATATCACAACATTACAACAACATTTTATTGGAATATAGGACACATATAGTCACACATCCAAGGCTCAAGGAAAGGAATTTATTGGTAAACCTTAAGCCAAACCAGAAGTAATTAATCAAAACTAAGATGGCCAATAAATCTCTCCTAGGCCTAGTTGCACAACTTGAACTTCGACAGTGAAGATGTTCCATCGAGCCCTTTCTTGTAGTAGTGTGTGATGAACTCTTTTATCGTAGTCTCGCGGTAGATTGGGGGTTTATCTTTTGATAGTAACTCCTTGATCGGCCCATAAACTCTTGATGTAATCTCTTCTCTAAAATGAGTTCTGAAAAAACCTGCCACTGAAATTCTCGGGCCTCTCTTTTTGGCAAGCACTCTGTGGTTCACACTCTTGAACTTGTCATTGGTAATGAGCTGCACAAATACACAAACATGATGTGTTACAACTATAATTATAAGATAGTATAATAATCCTACGAGTTTAACGTAAAACATAGACTTGCCTGTAGAAGATCTGCAATGTTTACCACAAGAGCTCCAGGCAAAGGAGGGACATCAACCCATTGATTTTCCTGGAGGACTTGGAGGCCTCCCAATTGGTCCTGTAGAAGTATGGTAAAGAAACCACTATCAGAGTGACTGCTAGTGCCGAAAGTCCGTTCAGGTTCAGGGCATGCCGGGTAATAATGGCCGATGAGGAAAAGCCCCTCTGCACAATTCATGTCTTTCAGGTAATTGGAGTCGAGGCCAAGTGCCTCGGAGAGCAATTCGAACAGAACAAGTGCCACTTCCATTAAATACTTGGAGTACTCAATCATTATATCCCTGCAAGTTGAACAAGTACACCAACAGCAATGAGTTGACTTCGGCAATACAAGTATATATATGCCATTAGTAGGAATCATATAACACAACCAGCAACAGAAAAACAGGGGATGAACCCATTAAGTTGCCTTCATTATTTTGGTTCTTCTGACTCGGAATATATAGTCATACAATTGTATATTCATAGTGGATAAAGCAGATGAAACTGAAATTTTTGCCACAAGATTGTGTAATGTTTTAGACTACCATGTCATCATTACAAGCCATTAGATCATAAAGCTTTTGTGTAGAGTAATTCTGACCTGATATCAATCATAAACCAACAAAATCAACAATAAACAGCCATTCATCAAAAAAAAAAATATTTATTATTATTATTTATCGTAAGCAAAATTTTATTAACAAGAATACAAGAGGCAAATGAGCAAATCCCTCTAAAAAAAGTAAAGCCCACTTCCAGAAATTGGCTAGCAAAAACATCACAACAAACCAACCCTCAAAAGGACTAAACAAAATACATGAAAAGCAAAAGCAAAATCCCACAATAAGATAGAGTTCTAAAGACAAAGGATATGATAAATTATATCACTTAATCAAATGTTGTTAGGACTGAATAAACAGTTGTCATGGATATACCAATATTGGTCTAATCATATATATATATATATACATACCTGCACAGTGCAGGCAATTCTTGAGGGTCAGGTGGATGAGGAGCCATAACACAAGAAGTAGTGTCCCTCCAGTTAGCTGATGGTGCACGATGCAGGTCAAAATTGCTATTGTATATAAACCTTCTCGTGACATCCCGCGAATAGAAATGTTTCTTCACCTCTGTATCTTGCTCATGAAACCTGCGAACCCCATCAATCATTTCGTCCATGACACTGATCGGAATTCCATGATTGACCACCTGAAAGAAACCCCACTTCTCAGAAGCATCTCTAACTTTTTCTACGATTTCATGACGAAGAGTTTCATCTTTATTGATGTTTTGCAAGTCTATGATTGGAATACTGAACTGCGAATTGCAAGAGTCAGACTTGTCTTGAAGCTTAATTTGGTCATGGACAAATATACTTGGGATCTTGGTTACCCCAGCATCTACAAGTCCTTTTACTCCGGTTTTTGAATCATCGAAGGCTTGTAATTCACTTTTCCGATCATATTCAGGCATGGATATAGCCTGAGCTTCACTTGTGGTGGTGGTCACCATTTTCTCTCGGAAATTGTGTTTATTTTTTTTTTTCTTTTTCGGAAAGTGTGTTTAATATTACTAAAACAGAACTGTCTTCTAATAAGATAAAGACGAACTATTCTTCACCATGAAAAAAAAAGGGAAAATTACATATAAATGGAGTTAAAGTTCCATATTTACTTAGAGGCTGAGTCAAAGTCCTATATTTTTCTAAAATGGATTGCTGAGGTGGCACATGGTTTTTTACTGTTTAGAAATTGTGATGCCTAAAATACCCTTCCGCGAAGGTACTACTTTTTCTTCGAAGGTATTACTTTTTTGAACTGAATGTACTACTTTTTGGCGTCCAGGTACCATATTTTTTAAACACTCGCGAAGGTACTACTTTTTCTCCGAAGGTACTACTTTTTTGAATTGAAGGTACTACTTTTTTGAACTGAAGGTACTATTTTTTTATTAGGGAAGGGCATTTTAGACACCACAATTTTTTAAACAGTAAAAAACCATGTGCCACCTCAGCAATCCATTTTAGAGAAATATGAAATTTTGACTCAGTCTCTAAGTAAATATGAAACTTTGACTCCATTTATATGTAATTTTCCCAAAAAAAAATGTTGGTAGGCCATGTTTGAACATCATTGATTGCATCACTTTTTTGGAACGATGTGCCAAAAAAGTAAGAGGAATGATGTGGACAGGGTAGCGACTGCCCATTCACGATTACTGTTTTTATTGGTGAGTTGAATTGTGTTGGTGTTTATATATAAATAGCTAACAATATGCGACTGTATTCTTTCTTTTCTTTTATTTTAAATTATATTTATTCTCTATGTGAATTTATGGTTGAGAGGATTACATATATATATATATATATAAACCGGCATACGGATCTAATAAGTAAAAAAAAAAAAAAAAAGGAAAGTAACCCATATAGCTCTAACAAAGAAAAAAATGACAAAAAAAAAAAAAAAAGAAGAAGAAGAAAAGTAATGCTCTCTCTCTCTCTCTATATATATATATATATAGGCATACGGATCGAAAAAAAGAAAAAAAAGAAAGGAAAGTAATGCTGCAATGCTTTATATATATATATACACACACTATATATTTAAATTTTATCAAGTGAGAACTAAATAGACGAATGAAAGGCTTAAAATGGCTGTTTTGTCAAAAAAAAAAAAAAATATAGTTTTAATATTCCATAAAAAGTGAGAAACTTGTAATTAATGAAGGCATTAATTACAATTCTACTCACTAATAAAAACAGCGACTACAATCGCCTTACTGACTGTCCTTAGCAATCCTCAAAATGTAAAGAAATAAAACGTCAAATTACGGTTATGTTTTGAAAGTAAGTTTATTCATGATCCTCATATTTTGACCATTCAGAAAATTAGTTTTAAATTCACTGGTAGGAATAGATCATAAAGATAGCGGTAGCAATTTATGTTCGTGCATCATAATCGTATCCTTCATGGGCTTTGAGAGGGGTTGGACCACTAAGGGAATTGCTTTTGTTAGAGTTGTTTGTTGTTCTTCTCCATGGGTTGGGTTATTAGCGAGACTTGTTAGCACGTTCAAGCCTCCGTGTCGATGTAAGAATATTATATTAAATAGGTAAATTTAAACTCTACCCATTTAATAATCGTGTCAGGAACTCTCCATACTAACCCAACCTGTTTATTAAACGACTTGTTTATCAAAATAATATATTTAATATTTAATCAAATAATAAATACTAGAAAAAAAATTCGCAATTAACCCAAATATTCAAAATAAGAAGAAAAATCTTAAGGTCTAGTCAAAGTTTATGTTTAAATGACTTAAATATTCATAATAATTGGATTTAAACAGATAACATATTACATAAATCATATTCACAATTATGACATGTTGAGTTAAAGGAATATAAAGGTTACACGGGTTGAACCCCTCAACCCTAACTCGACACGGTTAAGTAAACGGATTAATTGTATCAACCCGTTTATGATCCGAACCTATCTAAGCTCAACCCAAACCCCACTTATTTAGTATCGTGTTGGCAGATCGTGTAATAATTTGGCACCCCTACAAAAAGACCAGGGTAGGAGCGAATTTACATATTAAATTTAGTTTCTTCTCAAACATCTCTCTACATACCTATCCACCTTTAAAAAAGTCTAGAGGTTTTTTTTAACTTTTAACAAATACAAATAACATAACTGCATTACGTATGATGCTAATGATCATTTTAATGGTATGTTTCTTCGTAAGTATAATGATAATGATCATTTTAAATTAGATGAATTCAGGAATTATTAATGGGATGGATTAATAGTTTTTGAATGAGCTAATACTAGGGCTTATTTATTTATTTATTTTGATTGGGCTAAAATTATCTATACTATTTTTTTTATTTTTTTTGTGCGCTCAAGTCCACTAGAATCCACCCCTACATCCACTATACTATATTTCTTTGTAAGTATAATGCCAATCATAGTTCAAAGAGACATGGTATGTTTCTTTGTACTTGTTAAAAAAAAAAAAAATAGAAAAAAAAAAAAAAAAAAGGAAGAAAGAAGAAGAAGAAGAAGCAGCATGATGATTAACATCATGCAAGAGATGCTTAATAAACCATTTCATGAGTCATTGGCTTTGTCGACCGCAAATACAAACACTTTAATGAATTTTTTTGTTCTTTTAAACATCATGAAAAAATAAATAAATATAAATGCCTCTTGTTTTCTAAAATATAGTAATGCTTAATAATAATAAACCCATATTTGGACCCCCATCCTAACACTTGTTGATTTGCTGTTTATTGTATATATATATTTTTAATAAATTACATTGACTTTTGGATAAATTACACATTATTGTTGGTCTTTATTACTTTGAATTTCTTTTGAGTTTGAAAAGTTAATAATGCCATTTATATTTTAATGAGAAATTATTTTTTTTGTTCAACATTGTTAAAAAAACACTCCCACTCAAAGGAAGGATAACATGGACATTTTATAGTAAAAAAAATTAAGAGTAAGGGCATCGTTAGTACACATGTCAAATCTCAAAGGAGATCAAAGTAATAAACTATAAACGATTTACCCGAGTGTAATTTAAAAGGTAAATTACACTGACTTGCTTGAGACTTGGACTATCGAAAAAGAATTGTGTAAGATAAAGTCTCCCTTTTCTCTAAAATATATATCCACACTCTTGCAAGGTTTTATATACGCCATGGAGGGAGAGGCCATATAGAATAGAGGATATGAATCTTGGACTGTTTAATTGCAATTGATAACAAAGACTTAGCACCGGATACTCAAGAATTTTTTTTTTTTTTTTTTTTCCTTGCTAATATGAGTCCATGTTCTTCCCCTTTTTTATTCTTTTTTTCTTTTTCCACCTCTCTCTCCTTATATATACACAAATATGTGCCAAGAAAATCAAGGAAATCAAAACAAGATTAGCAAATTAATATATAGTATAAATGTGTGTGTATATATATATATATATATCTGCATTTTTTTTTTCCTTTAGTTCTTTTTCTGTTTTGGGTCGTTTTTTGAGTTCTTATTATTTTTTTTTAGAGTTTTCATTATTTCATTCTTTTGAGGATGTTTAAATTTCAACCAACTGGGATTCATGAGGTGAAAGTCAATTCATTAAATAATAAATACTATAAATGATGTATATTGTATGTATGTATATATTAGAAATTTAATAATAATAAATTTAACTGAACGGTCAAGTCGGCTTTTTTATCCTTCACTGGACCAATTTAGTGAGAGAGTAAAGGCGATTTTTTTTCATACTGAGATCACATGAATTTTTATTTTTTTTTTATTATTATTTTTTTTCCTGTCAAAAAAACTGCCATGTGCCATACGGCATCTGCAAAGCAAGAACAGAAGACCATGAATGACAGTTTTATGCTTCCTCAAAAGAAAATGATTGAATGGCTGGTGATTGTCAATATGTTGGTCTACGAAGGGTATTGACTCGGGCCCATAACCGACCCATCAGTACAGCCCACTAAACTAATAATGGCCTTGAACTGTTCTTCCATTTCCATTTTTTGGATTCAAAATTTTTTTTAATTGTTTCCGCATTGGGCTTGATCACCTTATGAACTAGAAAGGTCACCATCTATGGATTCAGTGCGCTTTCTAAGATCTAACAAATTTTCTTTTATATTACGCCGTGTAAATCGCAAATCGGTGTGATTCTGGACATAAAATCAAAATTTTATTTTCTGTTAATGATTTCTATGTACCCATCTCATCCTTGAAATCAAAATTTCATATTTAACAAATGAAAGAACACAAGTGAATTACATATATGTTATGTTTAGTAGCATCAAATCCGGGACTTGGTTTTAAGGTTGAAAAAAATTTAGTATAAATTTTAAATTAAAATTCTTCTGATCTCAAATTGAAGATACCGATTAAATGCTATCAAACATAACAATAATGTATGTAATTTTTATGTGCAATAAACATGATGATTAACATCATGCAAGAGATGCTTGATAATCTATGGGATTTACATTTCATGGGTCATGCTTTGCCCATTGCAAATACAAAATCTTTAGGATTGTTTTCTTTTTTAAAACATCATGCAATATATATATATATATATATATATATATATATATGTTTTCTTTTAGAAATAGAGTGTATTTTGACAAGCACTTAAACTAGGCCTTCTCAGAAGTTTATTTCCTCCGCACCAAATGCAAACTACAAATAACTTCTTATTCAAGACAGTTTGGATTACCTGGTTTTGACCCAAAATAACTTATTTCAAATCGAAAACAGTCCAATGATTAATATGCAATAACTTTGCTTTTGATGAACTAAGAGGATTGTTGAATATTTTTATTACTCCGTAGGAGTCTATACATGCAAGTCACTTGGATTATTATGATTTTTGGTATTTAAGAAATGATTAGGTTTCATATATATATTGGGTAAAAGAACAAAAAAACATTCCTGAAGTAAAGGGTTGTTGCAAAACGCCCCTTTACTATTTTTTGGGAGCAACTCAGTTCTTCAATTATGCAAATGTTGCATATAGCTCCCTTATAACTTATTGGAGTGTA